CACTGTTATATATATATATATATGTGTGTGTGTGTGTGTGTGTAGTGTATATGTTACAGAGTGTAATAACCACTCTTGTTATATTATATTTTTAATTATGAATATTTTGCCCTCGTCTGAAGCATCGTTCGACGTCCGGACAACATTGCAGTGTTGTTGCCCTATTAAATTGTACATATTACATTGTACATTTGTACTGCACAATTCGAATTATTTATTAATTTTCTTATAATTAAAACTAATATACCTACCTTCTTGTATTGTTGTTAACGATGTATTTATTTTGGCATTTTAACGACCAAGACGTATAAACTACACACGCGATAACAATAGTTGATAACGAGTAAATAATATTTTGCTTAATAGGTATAATGTTGTGTTGACGACTTAACATGTACTTGTGTTGACAGACTTTCGTTCGAAATTATTTGATACTTAGTTTCTATCCACATACGAATATTATAATAAATAACAATTATTATTATTTATTATTAATATGTAAAAATTATCAACTTGCTGGCGCATGACATGTTTCATGCTTGTCTAGTATTTTCTGTTATCTAAAATTTATCGGTCAAAAACTCAAAAGTATTGTAATCTTGAGCACATGATTCCGAAATATAAGAATTGAAATTTCTTGTAAAAAAATGAACTACGAGAAAAACAATTTGACTAAAAAACGAATCAGTCATGTACCGAAACTGGTGTTGATAAATGAGTGAAACGATATTCGTCATCCGAATTCCTGGCGAATTCGATATTTTGCTTTACAAGTWGTATCTCTCTGTCGTCGTTTATATAATTTGAAACTGGTTTTGGATTTTTTTCAAGTCGAAAAAAAAATAAAGATTCGAGAAAGCCAAAAACTCATTGTTGACGACGGCGGGACMAACGGATTAATTTATACATCCAGTTAACGCGAAAAAAAAATATGTGTAAAAAATATTTAATGATGATAATAGTATAGCGGTATAGTAGTTAAGTTCTTCGGGCCGAACGACTTTTGCTCTTCTGCAGCTGATGTTGCGCAATCGGAATAATAATAATAATAATATTATATATCCGGACTCTCGAGCAGCACTTTCACTTCGCGCTATAACTGCCGCCGCCGCCGTCGCCACCGACGTAGTCTGTGAACACGGCATATAATAAATAATCACATTACACTACAATA